TGAAGTTTGATTTATAACTTTCTTGGTCCTAATTTGAGTTAAATTACCCAAACTAACTCCAAGATGTGCAGAAGGCAATGATGAGAGAAGATTTCTGGCCAGGATCTGGAAAAAGCAGCGACCCCAGCCTGGAATAAGCTTTAAGTCACACACACACACACACATAATGCTCTTATGACAAGCTCAGCTCAAAATAACACCATTTACCATATTATCCTACTTTCTCAAAACCACTTTACACTTCACTGACATATAATTCGGCACATTTAAAACAACAGCCGGTGTGTACAGTGAGGTCCGGTACTTTTACGCAGACAAGAGAGTAATGGAGCGTTCACACAGGGATAACGATGGCAATGGGAGGGTTCAGGCAAAGGCAGAGACACTGAGAGGATCCATTAGTCCAATCTGATTGATTCCTTTCTCCTTCTCTTCTCTGCTAATCCTTCAAGACAACAGCAGATGGCTCGGAGCCAATAATACTGCAAACCTGTCTGAACTCTACACTCACCTCACACTTTCCTACACTGACCAGTACCCTCAGGCTACTGTTGGGAACATAAACATATTATGGAGGATTGCATAAGGACAGAGCCACAAATATCACAGTGTAAGGTCACCTGATGGGGCTAGATGTTTTAGTTCCAGTCTGAAAGTACAAGTGATACAAATCTGGCTTACACAAGATGTATGACCACATTTACAAAGTTAAACCAAGGACAAAACATTATCTACTGAATGTGTGTGACCGTGTATCAGTATCAATTTAAATCTTGAATGTGAGCATGACCTCAAAAATAATTTTTAATGCCGACTATTCTGGTTGTCCTGTGAAATAATCTATAAGCAGGTCACAAGAAAGATGTTAAATGATGTTACACTGTGTGGCGTTCTTTCTGTTTCTTTCATGGGCAGATTACTGATGACATTATTTTAGAAAGTATAATATAGAAAAGGGGAAGTGAAAGGTAAAATATCTGTTACTACCTTTGTCACACCTCCAATAAAGCTTACACATGTTTTAACGTAAAATGTCTGAACATGTTTCAGGTCGAATATTGAGGCTTTAGCTCTCAAAAAGTGATGTTGACAGACAACTTGTATGTGATATCATATCAGACGCCAACATAGATATCACTGGTTTGTATTACATGACGCTTAGCAGCTAAAAAAAACAAGATACCAAGTTTACCTCTGTCCAGTAAAATTCTTGCAGTTAATATCCAGGAGTTGCCGGTGTTACTTCAGATCTCAGAGGCAGAAATTGGAGGAATAGTAACCTGCAGCTCTGCAGACATGAACAGGAAGCACTGACTGGTTATTACATTATTATAGAACCACCCACAAAAAGACTATAGTTAGATTGACCCAGCTCTGCTACCCATGGGACAAGAGTCTGCACTTCCTCCTCCCACCTACTCTCACCCACTTTTATTCTCTGTCGTTCTGCGTCTCCACCCTGTTGTTACTCAGTCCTCCTTTTCTCAGGAGTTCGGCCTCCTGAGGTGCATGTGAAGTGTCAGAACTGATACAAAACAGATGGACGGAGACAGAGAGAGCAGCCGAGGGTCTGATCATGCTGTCACTAAGATATGTTCACTGCAGTGAGAAAATGAGTTTCAAAAAAGGAGATATCGGTGTCAGGAGAATAACATTGTTAAGTATTATGGTACAGATGTTTGGTCATTTATTATATGACCACCAGGATTTTGTTTTATTAGACACACAGTCATTATTATTTTTACAATTTAACAGACAATCTATGTGTCAGAAAAAGAAAACAATCAACATTTATGTTGTTCATCCACTCAAACTTTCTGCGCCTCCAGCTCCTGTACAAACCTGGCAACGACCAGACAGGAAGTGGGGTGTTTCTCCAACAAACACGCATGATTTATACACTCCCCTCTTTTGAGCCGCACGCTCCAGACACACACTCCATTATTATATAATGAGAACAGATTTCACGGGGAGCCCTGACTTTCAGCTCAGCGGTGATATGATGTGAATAATACAGGTTCAAGAGAGGTTGCCACTTTAATGACCCAACTAATAACAAGTCACTACTCTCTCTCTGCACTCACAGCCAGGTTTCACACCCTCCAGGTGAAAAGTATGCAGGTTAAACAAACACAAATCCTACATGAAAAGCCTGTTTATCTGCACCGAATGGTACAGTAGTGCAGTATAAACAAACAAAAAAAAAAAGCCATGTCAGCAGTCACCATTGCTCTTCTTGGTTACAATACCTGGTTCACAGCTTCAGGAGAGCCACCAGCCTTCAGGCTTTAAAGGGGGGAAAACCACACTTCTCTAAGCAGACGTCCTCCTTAAGACTTGGACCACACCCTGCATTCAAGATTGAGCCTTGCTGGCCAAACTACCTTTGTGATAACACACACACACACACACACACACACACACACCACCGAGCCGCTCGTCTTAGCCCAGAAGACAAACACAGACGAGATTCATGCCCTGTTTGTGAAATGTATTGTCTAGGCTGACAGGGATGGGCAGCGCAGATTAAATCAGTCCTGCGCTGTACATACATTTATCAACATGCATACACCATAAAACCACAACTATGAACCCCAACAGATATCAGAATCATTAAAGGATACTTAGCACCGCCATAAAATGACACAGCAAACATTTATATGTGCATTTGGTGGTTAGTTAGCTGCCCTTGCCTTTCAATAGTTTCATCCATCTCTTGTGGACATAGCGGGGCTACGGAACGGCGTTAGCTCTTGACATGTTTACGATTACTACGCTGACAGTAAACATGTTGACCGTGATTATCGTCGCCCAGAGAAAGGTACCAAACGCCGGCTGAGAGCTAGTTAAAGCCAGACCGAGCGCCTCACCAGACACTCAGTTTGGTAACTTATCTACATTTGTCGGAGGCGGTAAACACCCGATGACATGTAGCAGCTAGCGCGATAGCATTTTGACACTAGCCGTCTAGCTAAAGCGGCACATCTACAAGTGACAGTAACACACGTACACTGGATTTACATGCTTATTCCCCGAAACAAACCCTGAGATATCCTTTTCCTTACCGGATGCTATTGGGTCCTGACTGAGGAATCTCCACAGAAAGTGTTCACAATGAATGCGATGACTTCAGTGCTCCAAGGGCGGTAACACAGGAAGAGCCGAGCCAGAGTGTTCCCTGAGTGACGTCTGGTGGAGCCAATAGACGGAGAGAATGCCGGGCGTGAGCCAATGGCGTGAATAAGCCCGCCCCTTTCATCTGGAAGAACCAATCAGGTGGGAGATAGGAAAATATAAAATGAAATGAAATGAAATGAAATGAAATGAAATGAAATGAAATGAAATAAAATAAAATAA